TGCATCTTTATAAAAAATTAGTCATATATATACACATGTGTGTGCATATGTGTATATATATGTGTGTGTATATATACATATGTGTATATATGTGTATGTATATATCTATATATCTATATGACTAATTTTTGATAAAGATGCAAAGTAATTTCAGTGGAAAAGGAATGTTGTTGTTGTTAAGTGCCATTGAGTCAGCTGCAACCCATAGAGACCTTGTATAGGGTTTCCAAGGAGTGACTGGTGAGCTTGAACCACTGACCTTGTAGTTTAAACGGCTTTGCAGTCTGGCACATTAACCCACAGCACCACACCAGGATTCCGTGGAAAAGGAATTGTCTGGAACAAATGGTGCTGAAGTAATTGGAAAACTACTCTAACAACAAAACCAAAACCCAAACTTCAATTTACATTTTACACTATATACAAAAATTAATACAAAACAGATCACAGATTTAAATGTAAAATGTAAAAAACTGTACTGCTTTTAGAAGAAAGCCACACTTAAAAAAAAAAAAGTAGCATTATTTGCCCAGGGAAATAGGCTTCTTGTTAAGTCTTGTGGAGCATGGGTCTTAGGTGGAATCCTGAGGCCTACCCCAGGACCTTTAGAAGTAGAAAATTCCCACTTGAAAGACTTGCAAAACTATATATTAAAAGTATCAGAATTAGACATTTCTCCAAAGAAGATATACAAATGACTAACAAGTGCATGAAAAGACACTCAGCATAATTAGCTGAGCAATCAAAACCAGAATGAGGTACCATTTCACACCTGCTAAAATGGCTACTATAAAATTAAAAAAGAAAAAAGTGTTTATGAAAATGTGCAGATATTGAAACCCTTGAACACTGCTGGTAGGACTGTAAAATGTTATAGTCATTGTGGAAACAACAGGTGTTTCTTCAAAAACTTAAATGTAGAATTACCATATGACCCAGCAATTCCACTTCTAGATAAACTGTTGTTATTAGCTGCTGCTGAGTCAGTTCAGACTCATGGTGACTCCGTATGTGCAGGACAGAACTGCTCCATAAAGTTGTCAGAAGCAGATCACCAGGCCTGTGTACTAAAGCACATCCGGGTGGGTTCAGCAAACCTCTCAGTGACTCACCCATGCGCTCTACTCTTAGATATATCCCCAAACCAAACTCTTTGCTGTCTAGTGTCAGACTCATAGTGACCCTACAGGACAGAGCAGAGCAGCACCGCAATGTTTTCAAGGCTGTAAATATTTACGGAAGCAGACTGCCTGCCACATCTCTCTCCCAAGGAGCAGCTAGAGAGTTCAGGTCACTGACCTTTCAGTTAGTAGCTGAGTACTTAAACATTGTACCACCAAGGTTCCTAACTTTTAAATATAGGCCTTCCCTGCCCCCCTAAAACTGAAAACGGACATTCACACAAATACCTGCACACAAATGTTCACAGCAGAACTATTCACAATAGTGTAAAAGCTGAAACCCAAATGTCCATCAACAAATGAATAGATAAACAAAATGTGATCTACCCATACAATAGAATATTATTCAACCATAAAAAAGAATAAAATGCTGGTACAGGGGATGAAACTTGAAAACATTAAGATAAGTAACAGAAGCCAAACACAAACAATCCTATATTTGGAGTTTTAATTGTGCCTTTCTTCTATTTTACTCATGCCAGAGGGTAAGACATATATTATAAATTTCAGAATCCTCTCCAAGATTTCAAATAAGGAGACCTGAGCACTGAATGGTGGAAGATGGTTAAGAGGATAATATACAAGCACATATATAAATGAGGGAACTTTAAAAAGCTCTTGGGAAAATTCCATTATGCTTTAATTTTTTCATAATCTTTTTGATCAAAACCAGAATGAGATAGATAGTATTTTATACCTGCTTAACTGGCTATAATAAAATAAGAAAATAAAATAACAAGTGTTTATTTTTATTCTGATATTCTATTATTATTTCTTCTTTTACTCTGATATCCCAAGGATTAAGCCAATCCCTTTCAATTCCTCTGAGTATACCTATTAAAATTTTTAGTCATCCACTGGGAAGGAGCACAGATTTTTGTAAAAAAATTGGCTAAAATTACTGTGATGGGTTATTTTAACAATAATATTTTGTCAATCATGTAAATCAGCAAGACTAGTTTTTCTAATAAGGATTAGCACTGGACTGCTAACTGCAAGGTTGGCAGTTCAAACCCACCAGCAGCTTCTTGGAAACCCTATAGTGAGTTGCTATGAGTCAGAACCAACCTGATGGCACCTGACGATGACAACAATTTAGAATGTTTAAATATTCATGCTTTCATTTAAAACTGTATCTCTCCCTAACTATAAATTTCAAATATATTATTAGAAGAATGACAAGAACATTAGAGTAAGAATCACAAGATATGGGTTCTAATACTGTCTTTCCTTTTTATCCATGTAGGTCATTTAACCTCTTGGAGTTTCTATTTTCTCATTTTAAAATACAAGTCATTAACACATTAATTCATTCCAGAAACATGGGATGCCAATTACATACAAGACATTATATAAGTGCTTAATCCTAGATGCTAGGTAGGAGAGACTATCAGTAAGCATTTACTGAACGCCTGTCATTTCCTGATCACTGTAAACAACAGCTATTTGACTCAGATAAACTCACAGTCCTGAGGAGCTCAGCTCTGGAGTCAAATAGATTGGGTTCCAATCCCACTCTACCATTTCCATTTATGTAACCTTGGAAAAACTATGTTAATGTTTCTGACCTCCTGCTTGTTAAGTTAATGTTAGTCAATATTTTTGAACACCATTTTTAATATGTAAATGTTAAGTTGTTATAGCAAAGTCACAGGGATGGAAAATGGCAGAGAAGACCGGAATGCAATCACACACTTGAGGACCATACATTTAGAAAGGGAAAATGGGCACACATGAAAAGTTATAGTGATGTTAAAAAATAAACATCATATATTACATGACTCCACTTATATGAAGCATCTTGAATAGTTAAGTCCATAGAGAAAGGATGATTAATGGGTGATCAGAGATACTAATGCGTCACACTGCAAAGTCCTTTGAACTGCAAGGTCGGTGGTTCAAGCTCACCAAGCTGCTCCTTGGAAACCCTATACAGGGTTGCTATGGGTTGGAATCGACTGGACGGCACTTAACAACAACAACAACAAGAGAGGGGAGAAGGGGGAAGTGGAAGTTACTGCTTAGTTGGTATAGGTCTCCTCTGGGACTGGTGAAAATGTTTTGGAACTAGATAGAGGGGATGGTTACAAACATTATGAATGTATTAAATGCCACTGAAATGTACATTTTAAAATGGTTCACTTTATGCTATGCTAACTTCACCTAAACAAACAAAAAGTAACAATTTTAGAGGACAGTCACATGAATTGCTGTTTTGACAGTTATAAAGCCAAGAGGTAATCAATAACAAAGCTCTCTGCAGTGGAAAAAAAGAGAGGAATAGTCTAATTTTCTGCACCTGAAGTATAAATCATGAAGGCACTGTTTGAGAAGATGTGCTACATTGGGATTTAAAAGAAATGCTGACCAGTGGTACAGGTTTCATGATGTGCAGGGGCCAGAGCATTCATCTCTAGCCAAAAGCTTGGATTCTAGTCTGGGCTTCAGCCTGGTTATAGAATAGTATGTGGGCTTCAAATATAGACTTGGTTTGAATTGTAGGTCTACAACTTAATTTCTGTGTTCTTATACAAATTATTTAATCTCTTTCAATATTTACCAATTTTATCTCTAAAATGGGAAAGAAATACCTTTTTGCCAGATTACTGGGAGGACCTAGCATTGTATGGATCTGTGACTGCAACATGTATATGATCAATGCTATCCTAATAATAATAACTTAGTAATATTAATCCTTTGCTTCTAATAGTGTAACCTTGGGGAAAACAGTTGGATTTCTCCGAATTTATCCTAAGGATTTTATTTTGAAGGAAGAAATTCTGGAGCAAATATCACCTCACTAACAACAATTTTTTAACAGGTAAAATGACATGAATAAGAAAGAAAATAGGGAAAGTTTTATGAACCTGATCTTCAGGTCTCTGATGAAACTTTGCTTTGTGTTCTGACTGCTACACCCCACTTAAGTCACTGTCTATGTGCCTGGACTCTGAGAGATGCCCAAAATCAGGTCCAAAATAAAACACTAGACATCCTAATCACAGAAGATGTAATTCTGAAAAAAAAAGGCAATATTAAAATGTAAATTAAATTTTAGAAGTTTGATAGAACTCTGATTTCTTTTTTTGTTTTGTAAATATAGGCATATCTCATTTTATTACACTTTGCTCAACTGCGCTTTATTGATATTGTGTTCTTTACAAATTGAAGATACGTGGTAAATCGGAATCGAACAAGTAAGTATCGATGCCATTTCTTTAACAGCACTTCGTGTCTCTAAGTCGCATTTTTATAACTCACATATTTCAAAATTTTTCATAATGCTAATGTACGACATTTAAGGAGCCCTGGAAGCGCAGTGGTTAAGAATCGGGCTGCTAATTTCACAGTCAGCAGTTCAAAACTACCAGCTGTTCCTCGGGAGAAAGATGAGGCTTTCTGCTCCTGTAAAGATTTGCAGCCTCGGAAATCCTGCACAGGGTCACTATGAGTTGGAACCGACTCCACGACACATAACAACAACAATGTACATTTAGACTAGAGTATGGTATAAACATAACTTTTAAATGCACTGATAATAAAAGAATTCATGCTACTACCTTCCCCTTTATTGTGATATTTGCTTTATTAAGCTGGACTGGAAATGAACATGCAATGCCTATATCAAATTTCAAAACAACATTCTTTTTCTCATTATTTTTTTGTCTACCTTGGTGAATCTACTCTGCTGGCTCCAGAGGGCTTAGCATGCTTGAATGTAATCATGCACTCAGAATTGAGGATTGGGGAAAACTTTAGTATTGAAGTCTCAATGCAAGCCCCACAGTTTGCTCAACTTCAGGGTGGGAACACATAGTAAGACCCATTTCTGATATGTGTGAATGGTTTCCAACTGGAAGCAAAGACCATTTTTGTTAATGGAATCAGGAACCACTTGAAGATTTAATCCACTCTGTGGTAAGAATGAATTCCTTGGCACTAGGTCTAATTTAGGAATCCTGGTGACATAGTGGTTAAAGTGCCCAGGTGCTGACCAAAAAGTCAGTGGCTTGAATGTACCCATGGGAGAAAGATGTGGCAATCTGCTTCTATAAAGACTTACAGCCACAATAGAGTCCCGACTGAATAGTTTTCATCTTGTCTAGATGGATCTGGTGAAAAGAGATGGGGATAAGATTCTTATGATTCAATAGTATGTAACTGTTATCATGACTAATTGCAACTGTCACAATTGTAATGGTAGAGGTTTTGTAACAAAAACGGGGGTGTAGTTAATCTTACAGTCCAGAAACAGGGGACCCTAGGACCATCAAGGGACAAGAGCATAAGCGGAATGTGGGACCTTATCCAGAGAAGCAGCAACACCAGAGATACAGGCAGAGATGGGGACATAGAGAGAGGGAGCAGCTGAGGACTCTAGATGCATGGAAAGAGAGGGACTGAGAGCTCGCAGTCAGGAGGCAGACTTGCAGAATGTGCCCTTTGGTGTAAATTATTATATATGCCTGAGTGTTTAAAAAAAAAAAAAAAAGCTAAAGTGAATAGAGAGAAATACTGTTAGCTGATGGTACATGGAGGGGATTATAATCATTGTAATGAAACAAAGTATATTAACTGTTGAATATAAAACTGATGATCTGCCCTGTAAACTTTCACTCAATTCACAGTAAAAACTTAATATATTAAAAAAAAAGACTTATAGCCACACATAAACATGCACACACAAAAAGATATCTGAAACCTTAACTACCCTGTGGCGCAGTTCTCCTCTGTCCTATAAGGTCACTAGTCACTGGAATCAACTTAGCAGTGGTGTGTTTGGTTTGGTTTGAATATGCTTAATTAATCACTGTCACAATTTGTCTATCAGTTAGTCCAAATGTGGTGCTTTGTATGTTGCTGTTACACTGGAAGCTATGTTACTGATATTTTAAACACCAGAAGGTTCAGTGGAGCTTCCAATTAAGACAGGAAAAAGAGGCAGGCCAATTCTGAATAGTTAGCACTGAAAACCTTATGAATAGTACTGAAAGATAAGCCTCTCAGATTGGAAGGCACTCAAACTACAACTGGGAAAGAGCTGTCTCCTCAAAGTAGAGTTGATTTTAATAACATGATGGAGCAAAGCTATAGGTACACCTTCCACTGCTGATGAGGCACCACTCAAAATGTGAAGAAACAGCTGCAAACATCCAATAATTGGAATGTGGAATGTATGAAGTATGAAACTAAGAGAACTGGAAGTTGTCAAAAATGAAATAGAACACATAAAAATTGATATCCCAGATGTTATTGAGTTAAAATGGTCTTGTACTGACCATTTTGAATCAGACAATTATATGGTTTACTATGCCACAAATGCCAAACTGAAGAGTGGCATCACATTCACTTTCAGAAAGAACCTATCAAGATCTGTTCTGAAGTATAATGCTGTCTGTGATAAGATATCCATTCACATACAAGGCAGTCCAGTTAATACAACTATTATTTAAATTTACACACCAACACTCAAGTCAGTGATGATGAAACTGAAGAATTCAACCAGCTTCTTCACTCTGAAATTGATCAAACATGCATTCAAGATGTACTGATAATTACTGATGGTTTGAAGTTGGAAACAAAAAGGAAGTATCTATAGTTGAAAAATATGGACTGCATGTTAGAAATGATGTTGGAGATTGCATGATAAAAATTTGCAAGACCAACAACTTATTCATTGTAAATACTTATTTTAAGCAACATAATTATGACTATACATGTGGACCTCACCAGAAGTAATACACAGGAATCAAATCAACAACATTTGTGGGAAGATAGAGAAGCTCAGTATCATCAACCAAAACAAGGTCAGGGGCTATCTATGAAACAGACCATCAATTGTTCATATGCAGGTTCAAGATGAAGATGAAGAAAAGTAAAACAAGTCCAGTGGAGACAAAATATGTCCTTAAGTTTATCCCACCTGAATTTAGAGACCATCTCAAGAACATATTTGATGCTTAGACACTGATGACTGAAGACCAGAGGGAACTGTGGGATGACATCAAGAACAACATACATGAAGAAAGCAACAAAGTCACTGAAAGATAGGAAAGAAAGAAAATAACAAAGTGGATGTCAGAAGAGACTCTGAAACTTGTTCTTGAATACAGAGTGGTTACAGAGACTGAAAGAAATGATGAAGCAAAAGAGTTGAACAAAAAATTCAAAGAGCAACTCGATAAAACAAAGTAAAGTGCTATAATGAAAGGTGCAAAGATATGGAATTAGAGAATCAAAAGGGACAAACAAGCTCAGCATTTCTCAAGCTGAAAGAGCTGAAGAAAAAAAATTCAAGCCTCATGCTGCAATATACTGAATGACACAGGAAGTATCAAAAGAAGATGGAAGGGACAGTAGCGGCAATGGCGACTGCTGCTGTAGTGGCGGCAGCGCTTTGACTCCCTCCTAGCTCCAGGCTCTGCCGTTGAGCCATGGAGAGCATCTCTGCCCACAGCCAGCAGCCAGGTTGACTATGCCAGAGACCTGGGCCCCTAGGCGGCACCACGCGCACTCAGGGCAGCACCAGCACCCAGAGCCAAACTCCAAGATGGGAGACAAGTTAAGCAAGAAGAAGGGGTACAATGTGAATGCTGAGAAAGCCAAAGACAATGACAAGAAGGTTGAAGGGGCAGGGACTGAACAGGAGGCAACCCCGAAGGAGAATGAGACCCAGGCGGTGGCTGAGACCACCGAGGTGAAGGATGCCCAGGATGCTGCAAACAAGACCGAAGAGAAGGAGAAAGACAAAGACGCAACCACTGCCAAGGAAGAAGCACCAAAGGAGGAGCCCAAGAAGACAGAGGGGGCAGCAGATGCCAAACCCAAGCCCCCAAAGGATACAGAGCAAGAGCAGGTTGTAGCCTCGACCGCTGCTGCCAGTGGAAAGTCCCCTAAGGCATCCGAGGCCAGTGCTGATGCCTTGGACAAAAGCACTGCAGCCACTCAGGTGGATGGTAAGAGCAAGACTGAGGCTCCTGCTGCCCAGGAAACGAAAAGTGAGTGGGTCCCAGCTTCAGACTCAAAAGCTAGCAGCACTGAGGCTGCCCCACCTTCCAAGGAGACCCCCTGCCCCCACTCTGCAGCCATATACCTACAGCCCCTGCATCCCCAGCAGGAGAGGCGAAACCTGCTGAGACCCCAGCAACTAATTTGGATCAAACTATATAGCAGTGAAACAGGAGCTCTGGTAGTGTGGTGGTTATGAATCGGGTTGTGAACCTCAAGGTCAGCAGTTAGAAACTACCAGCTGTTCCATGGGCGAAACATGAGGCTTTCTGCTCCCATAAAGATTTACAGCCTTGGAAACCCTGTACAGGATCACTATGAGTCGGAACTAACTCCGTGGCACAAAACAACATAGCAGTGAAAGAGTAATCATAAGGACAGCCTACGGAAAAATAATAATAATCCCACTTACAGAAATAACCTCTCTCTTTCTCTGCTATACTAACTTGTTTCAAATTGATTGGAAGATAACGTATTGTCCAAGATTTAAGGAAAAAAGAAAAGAATGTTGTCCCATCAAGGGAGGGAGGGGGTGGGGAGAATCCAAATCGTATTTTTGTGGGGAAATATCTAATATATCTTCAGTCAACTATATTAATCAGTCCTGGATTTTGAAGATTAAACATCTGAAAGTCACGTACACCTTTCATACCTGAACTGCTGTTCCATGCACCCCACCACTAAGATCCTAGTATCTTTTCTTACTACAAATGTTGCCAAGGCCTGTGCCAAGGCAACTAGATCTTTATGAAAGCAGTATTTTCTGTGTTTTCTTTTTAATTGACAGCCTTTCTTATTTTGATATTTTAAAAAATGCTGTGGATGAATGCCAACTTTCAGACAAAGCCCATGTAGCTTGTCCATACGTATCTCCATGCCAACCCCCACCCCCAACCCCATTCTTCTTCTCCAGATATTTTTGGGAGTGAGAAATAGTCTATCATCCTACTTAACCTACCTAGATTTCTCATGACAAGTTAATGCATGTCCATGGTTGGGTGCACCTTATCGGTCAGTGGAAATGGCAAAAAAAGAGTCTGTTTTCATTGCAGTTCCAGTTACTCTTCCATTCTGTGTCACAGACACTAATACACCATTCATTGGAAAATGGAAAAAAAAAAAACCCCAAAAAACCAAAAAATATACAATGGATGTTTTGAAATTATATGTAATTGTATAAATGGTGTAACAGTAATAAAGTTAAACAATTAAAAAAAAAAGAAGAAGAAGATGGAAGGAATACACATCGTCACTATACCAAAACAAATTGGAAGATGTCCAACCGTTTCCTCAGGTACGATGTGATTAAAAATGGATAGTATTGAAGGAAGTACAGTCTGCACTGAAAGCATTGGTGAAAAACAAGGCTCCAAGAATTGAAGGAATACAAATCGAAATGTTTCAACAAACTGATGCAGTGCTGGTGGCAATCACTCGGCTAATGCCAATAAATTTGGAAGATAGCTACCTGGCCAACTGACTGGAAGAGATCCATATTTGTGCACATTCCCAAAAGTGTATGAAAATCACTGAAAAATATCATTAATATCAGATCAAATAAAATTTTGCTGAAAACAATTAAAACAGTTTCAGCATCACATCAACAAGAAACGGACAGAAATTCAATCTGGATTTGAAAAGGATGCAGAACATGGGATATCATTGCTGACATCAGATGGATCTTGGCTGAAAGCAAAATTTACAGAAAGATGTCTACTTAAGCTTTGTTGACTATATAAACATTTTTGATGGTGTAGATCAAGACAAAACATGGATAACATTGTGAAGAATGGGTATTCCAAAACAATTATGATCATAAGAAGCCTATACACAGACAAACAGATAGTCCTTACAACAGAACACAGGGATAATGAATGTTTTCAAATCAGGAAAGGCATGCACTAGGGTTGTATCCTGTCATCATAGTTATTCAACCTGTATGCTGAGCAAATTGAGGAGCTGGATTATATAAAGAACGAGGCATCAGGATTGGAGGAAGACTCATTAACAATCTTCAATATGCAGATAACAGAACCTTGTTTGCTGATAGCAAAGAAGACTTGAAATACGTTCTGATGAAGATCAAAGACTAAAGATTTCACTATGGACTAAACCTTGATATACATAAAACAAAAATCCTCCCACAGGACCAATAAATAACATTATGACAAACAGAAAAGATTGAAGTTGTCAGACTTCATTTTGTTTGAATGCACAATCAATGCTCAGGAAAGCAGCAGTCAATAAATCAAATGAGACGGATTGCATTAAGGAAACCTGCTACGAAAAAACACTCTTTAAAGTATTAAAGAGCAAAGATGTTACTTTGAAGACTAAGGTCTGCCTGACCCAAGCCATGGTATTCTAAATAGCCTTAAATGCATGTGAAAGTTGAAGAATGAAAAAGTAAGACCTGAGAAGAATTGATGCATGACAATTATGGTGTTGGAAGCACCTGCCAGAAGAACAAAGAATCTGTCACGGAAGAAGTGTAGTTAGAATGCTCCTTAGAAGCAGGAAGGCAAGACTTCATCTCTCGTACTTTGGACATGTTGTCAGGAGGGGCCAGTCCATGAAGAAAAATACCATGCTTGGTAATGTGGTGGGTCAGTGAAAAAGAGGAAGATGCCCAAGAAGAGTGGATTGGCAAAGTGGCAGTAACAATGTGCTCATATATAACAATGGTTTCTATTTTCTAAGTGAGCTGAATAGGAAAAACAGTGGACTCTTCAGAGAAGAGTAAGATGGTAAAGAATGGATCTGCACATCCAGGCTAGTGTTATTCTCAAGTATTATCATCTACTTACATATTTCTTTCTTCCACCATTAAGGAAATTGAAAAGACTTGGTCTTGTTTATCTCTGCATCACTAGTCTCAGTGTCTGGTACTTAGTAGATTCTTAAAAAAAATAAAGGTCATTGAGTGACCACTTAATCTTATAAATCAATATCTGCTAGACTGATTGGTCTGTAAAACCATTGATGAAATGCTAGTGATAAAAAACAACGAAATAAAGATTATCGCAAACCTGACACTCAACATTCTTTTAGGCTTCTACCTATTACAGCAAAAGATGGAGCCTATGTGCTAGACTAACCAGTTATTTTTAAATTCCAGTTTTAAAGAGAGAAATTTCAAGACCGTCCATTGTGAGACTATGAAAACAGAGAGATTTACAAGTAGCAAGCAACTTCCAAGCCCAAATGAGACTGTCTTGGTAGAATGTAAATCTCTGGAATTTCCGGTGGACATGTTTACAAAAGATTCTTTTTCACCTTGATAGAAGTGGTATGTGGAAGTGAGTTGAAAAGCTGGATTTAAGATTGGTTTACTAATTTCTTTAGTGGTAGGATTTCAAACGATAGATTCAGTCTCAAAGTCTACCTTAGAAGAAGTGGTGTGTGAATTTATATAGAGGATAAACACTGATCCAAAGAGAATCCACATATCTCTCTGGTACCCTGAGAAGAAATATGTACTTTTTCAAGCATGATGCCTCAATTTAGACCCGTGTCACCTCTTGCTTGGACACAGTTTCTTAACAGGTCCCCCAACTTCCAATCTATATACATAAAAATAATTAGTAAATTCACTTACACACTTATAAAACATTACTGAGATTAATAAATGCTAGGCCTTCTGTAAAGAATTTGGAGATAAGATGAGTAAAAAACATAGTTCCCTATTGCACTGTTGGGAAGATAGATGCATAAGCCCAGAAAGTAGAGCTATAGAGTATATTATGGTTTGGTTACTGTTTCCTTTCAGCTTAACAACACTCCAGTGGGGTTGTTGTTGTTCAGTGCTGTTGAACAGGTTCCAATTCATTGAGACCCATGTACAACAGAACAACAAACTGCACAGCCTTGTGTCACCCTTACAATCCTTGCTATGTTTGAGGTCACTGTTGCAGTCACTGTGTCAATCCATCTCAGTGGAGGTCTTTTCCTTTTTCACTGCCGTTCTACCAAACACGATGCCTTTCTCCAGGGACCAGTCCATCCTGGTAACATGTCCAAAGTACATGAGCATTCTGGTTGTACTTCCAAAACAGATTTATTCATTCTTCTTGGTAGTCCATAATACTTTCTATGTTTTTCACCAACATCTTAATACAAATGCATCAATTCTTCTCTGGTCTTCCTTATTCACTGGCCAGCTTTCACATGCATATGAGGTGACTGAAAATGCCATGGTTTGGTTCAGACGCACCTTAGTCTTCAAAGTAACGTGTTTTGCTTTTTAACACTTTCAAGAGGCCTTTGCGGCAGATTTCCACAATGCAATACATCATTTGATTTCCTGACTGGTGCTTCTATGGGCACTGATTGTGTATTCAAGTCAAATGACATCTTTGATAACTTCAATCTTTTCCAGACTGCTGCTTCCACAGATACTGATTATGGATCCAAGTAAAATGAAATATTTGATAACTTCAATTTTTTATCTGCTAATTGGTTCAGTTGTAATGATTTTTCTTTTCTTTATACCAATGTGTAATTCATACTGGAGTCCTGGTGTGGGGCTGTGGGTTAATGCACCAGACTGCAAAGCTGCTTGAACTGTACGGTTGGCAGCTCAAGCTCACCAGCTCCTCCTAGGAAATCCTATACAGGGTCGCTATAGGTTGGAACCACTCGACGGCACTTAACAACAACAACAACAACAATTCATACTGACAGCTGCAGGTTTTGATCTTCATGAGTAAGCACTTCAAGTTCTGTTCACTTTTCAGCAAGCAAAACTGTGTCCTCTGTAATTACAAGTCGTTAATGAGTCTTCTTGCAATATTGAAGTCACATTCAAATTCCTACAGTTTAACTTCGAGGATTATTTGCTCAGCATAAAGATTAGGTAAATATGGTAAAAGGATACAACATTGGATCACAACTTTCCTGAAAGTAAACCATATAGTTTAAACCCTCTTGTTCAATTAGAATGGCTGCCTCTGAGTCTATGTACAGGTTCTGAATGAGAGCAATGAAGTGCGCTGGAATTCCCAGTCTTATCAATGTTATCCATTATTTGTTATGATCAACACAGTCTGATGCCCTTGTATAGTCAATGAAACACAGGTAAACCTCTTTTTGGCATTCTCTGTTTCAGTCAAGATCCCTGTGACACCAGCAGTGATATCCCTTGTTCCATGTCCTCTTCTGAGTCTGGCAGTTTCCTGTTGATGTACTGCTTCAACTATTTTTGAATTATCTTCAGCAAAATTTGACTTCCATGTGATATTATTTGATAATTTCTTCATTCTGTTGTATTAGCTTTCTTTGGAATGGGCACAAATATGGATCCCTTCTGGTTAGTTGGCCAGTGTCTTCCAAATTTGTTGGCATAGATGAGTGAGCACCTCCAGCACTTTATCGGTTTGTTTAAACATTTCAACTGATACTCTGAACATTCTTTCCATCTTCTTTTGATGTTTCTTGTACCGTTCAACATTTTACTTAAAGATTCCTTCAATACTGTAAGTCAAGGATTTAATTTTTCATCAGTCCTTTCAGTCTGAGAAATATTGCGCTCTTCTCTTTTTAGTTTTCTAACCCTAGGTCTTTGAAAATGTCATAATTGAGTATGTATTATTATTTCTATTTGGCAGATGGAGACACATGTGACTCAAAATGGCTAAGTAATTTACCCATGATGAATAGTTTGTTAGGGAATGAATTTGTTTATAAGTGTGTCTGTTTCTAAAACCTACATTCTTTCCACTTTATCAGAGGTTCTCAAACTTTAGGATATGTAGGAACCACTTTTTTTGTTGGAAACTTGTCAAAATACAAACTTTCTGGCCTACCTACAGAGTTTCTGATGTAATTAGTCTAGAATGAAAGCCCAGAAATCTGTATTTGCAACAAGTGTGTGCTGAATTAACATTATTTGAAAAGTCCTGCATCACAAAAAGAAAGCAGATAAATTATAGCCACATGATAAGTTAATATCACAAAGATAAAACAAAGCCATCACCATAAGAATTAATTTCCTAAATCACAAATCAAACCACACCAATTTCTAGCTTAAAAGATATGATGACTACTACTACCTGGCCACAGTTTAAGGTTCAAACTCTACAGCTGAGACTAGAACTACTTCCAAGATGTGGTCCTATTGCATATTTTTATCCTTTCTCTCCTTTCCTTCCAAGAACATATCATTCTGGCCTTATTAGATTATTTCTTATTTCTCACATTGCAAAGCTGTATTATTACATTTCCAAATTTTTGCAATGTGCTTCCTCCTAAATGCTAATGATAACTTCCTACTCAGTCTGCCAAATCATATAGGAGATATTTCCTGGATGCTTTACAAATGCCAGGTACCAGTCTAAGTATTTTATATGTATCAACTCATTTAATCTTCATATCAATCCTATGAGGTAGCATCTTGCTAAGGAAACTGAGGCACAAGAAGGGTTAAATGATTTTCCTCAAGGTTGTTCAACTGCTAGGATTTGAATTCAAATAACTGAGCACCACAAATGACAACATACAAGCTCTTAATCATTAACTTAGAGTTGCATCTTGGAAGACAGTAAGTTACTTTGAGGCAAGTAGTCTTCCAGTAACCTAGCGTCCAATTCAAACCATACCTCTCCTCAGATTCCTCTACCCCATCTTTATTTCTTATTCTTTTGAACTCCCTTCCATTATATTTATATTTGGACCACATCTCCGTTTTGATCTGAATTATTTTTTTAATTACTTTAGATGCTGGTTTTATTTTTGCAGGTAAATAGTAAGCTCCCTGAGGGCAGAAACTGTGTCATTAAAAGTAAATTGGCCAGGACTTGGCACATGGCTGGTACTGCCACAATTTGTGTTGGACTGAAATGCAGAGCAAGTATTTTATTACTTAAGCTATGCTCAGTGGTTAAAAAGAAAGTATATGAATGGGTAATGAGTATCCTTCCAAAGTAAATAATGAGGGAGTGAGTAGGCAGGATTTGTTAGACGGTTCCTTTCTTAACAGAAGACTGTCAATTTGAGAAGCAAATGTGAAAGGGCTCCCAGTCATATGAAGGTTTTTACTTCATGGTTGGTTAGCTGGTCTTGACTTTCAAAGTGAAATCCTATAGTTTAGCCTCCTAGTAAATAGTAATTCAATCCCCACAGCTATTCTTGCACAAATTGATATTTGGATTAAAAAAATTATATTGAAAGTTTCTCCCCTGTTTTCAGATAAGAGATGTTCATAAACTCTTCTGGTTGGCTATAAAACTGAATTTTTCTATTGCTTTGCATGAATAAACTAGCTCATGATAACAAAACGTATGTTCTTTGTGGCAGTTACACCTGGAATATTTCCAATGAATAGATTTCATAGTTTGTATTCTTTACACTTTACATGATAATCCATCTTTTCCTCAGGGCAAATTCTTATAATTGCTAAAGTAATAAAATATGCACACATATATATAACATAGGAGACTTCTGAAAAAGAGAATTTTAGGAAACATTTTTTAAAAAGTATGTTGTTGTTGTTGTTGTTGTTGTTGTTGTTAAGTGCCATCAAGTGTATTCCGATCCATAGTGACCCTGTATATGATTTAGAAGGAGTAGCTGGTGAGCTTGAACTGCTGACCTTGCAGTTCAAACATCTTGTACAGTATGGCACATTAACCCACAGCGCCACACCAGGACTAGGATCATGAAAAAAGTAACAAAAAGCTAGTATTCATAATCATCTGAAAATCTCACTGCTCACATACACCTACTGTGTGTTCCATTACAAGAGAAAGATCTCATTTAAAATGACAAGATAATAGTACTAGAAGGAATGACAACAACAACCAAAGGCCAAACTGTGAGGAAGTGATGTGGGGCAAATACTTACTTAGTTCTCAATTTCCTTAACTGCAGAATGAAGGCGTAACACTGGATGACTTCTATAATCTCTTTAAAAAGAGACCATAGCCTGGATTAAAAATAACATTAGATAATATTTATCTTAGAGGACTGTCAAAAAAGAGAGAGAACCTCAGGTACTGACACAATGGCTACAACTACAGGCTCAACCACAGCAACAACTGTGAAGATGCTGCAGGACTCTGCAACATTGCATACTGTTGTACAGAAGGTTGCTATGAACCATAGCAGACTAGATGGCACCTAACAACAATAACAATAATATTCACTTATACAGAGCATGCAATATCCCTTTGTTATGTCTGAATTACTGCCTCTTGATCTGTGTAGGCTCCACATATGCAAAATTAAGTGTTTTAGAATTCTCATTATTTGTAATATTATCCATAAATTGTTATGATCTACACAGTCAAATGCCTTCATGTAGAACAAACAATAAAACTGATAAACATGCTACTTGTATTCTCCGCACTTGTCTAACATCCATCTGATATCAGCAATACCAGACCTTGCTCCATGTACATCCATAAGAATCTGGATTGACCTTCTAGCAGATCCCTGTTGATGTATTTTTTAATTATCTTCAACAAAAAGTTTTATCTTTCCAGTGGGCAAAACTGACTAAAACTTCTTAGATATTATCAAACATCTTAAGGCAATGAGTTCCTGGACCTGAGGGGTCAGGACCATAGTCTCAGGGGTCACCATGGCCAACGAGCAAAACATAGTTCACAAAGACAATGCTTTACATACTACTTTGTTTGGTGAGTAGCAACTGGGATCTTAAAAGCTCATGAGCAGCTCTCTAAGGTACAACAATTGGTCTCTCCATGTGCAGAAAGAAGAGGAGTGATAACAATTAAAGACATTTGGGATCAACTAGTCAAATGGATCAATAGAGCTTTACGTAAACATCAACCACCATAACTCTTAGACCAGAAGAACTAGATGGTGCCCTGGTATTACTACCAACTGCTCTGAAAGGGATCACATTGTTGTTGTTAAGTGCCGCTGAGCTGGTTCCAACACATAGCGACCCTGTACAGGGTTTCCGAGGAGCAGCTGGTGAGCTTGAACCACTGGCCTTGCAGTTCAAGCCAACTTTGTAGTCCAGAACATTAACCAACAATGCTACACAAGGATTCCGGGAGCACATTGTTGTTATGTGCTGTGGAATCAGTTACAACTCATAGCGACCCTACACAGGGTTTCCAAGGCTGTAAATCTTTACAGGAGCAGAAAGCTTCATCTTTCTCCCACGGTACAGCTGGTAGTTTCAAACTGCTGACCCTGAGATTAGCAGGCCAATTTGTAACCACTATGCTACCAGAGCTCCTTAGACCAATAAAAAGCATCATGATAAATGGAGAAAAGATCGAAGTTGTCCAAGACTTCCTTCTGGGGTCATATTGTTGCTGTTGTTAAATGCTGTTGAGTTGATTCCAACCCATAGCAACCCTGTATAGGATTTCCGAGGAGCAGCTGATGAGCTTGAACCGCCAACCTTGCAGCTCAAATGGGTTTGTAGTCTGGTGCATTAACCCACTGCACCATGCCAGGACTCCAACCAACCAAGCTGTCCCCTTTAATTGTTATGTGTGTTGCTTTTAACTGATGGTTTATTCTTCTGGTAAAAGTACCCTTCTATCTTGGTGTGGTGCTGTAGGATAAAGCACCAGACTACAAAGTCAGTTTGAACTGCACGGTTGGCAGTTCAAACCCACTAGCTGCTCCTCAGAAACCCTATAGAGAGTCAATAGGGAATTGGAACTGACTTGACAGCATTTAGCAACATTATCTATAAGATACTTCTCTACAAGTCTATCTGCCACACACAAACTTTTCAGTGTCAGCTTAAAGGATTTTTCCCTGGTAAGGCTTTTCTAACTTTGTCAAGCAGAGTTAATACCCTGGTACACCTCTATCATGGAAATTATGTCATTATAATGGAATTTTTTTATTTGCAGTCTCTGAACATCTCAAGGACTGTGTCATCCTTGTATCAATCAGTGCTTAGTAAACTACTGACATGTTGTTGTTTAGTGCTCTGAAATCAGTATAGAGTTTCAGAGGCTTTAAATCTTTGTGGGAACAGAAAGCCTCATTTTTCTCCCATGGAGTGGCTGGCAGGCTTGAATCGCAGATGTTATAGTTCGCAGACCAGTGTTTATTGCATAGAACCACTGCACTCTCATGTTGACATAGTTGTTGTTGAGTGCCGTTGAGTCGGTACCGACCCATAGTGACCCTGTATAGGGTTTCCAAGGAGCAGCTGGTGAGCTTGAAACACTGACCTTGCAGTTCGAATGGCTTTGCAGTCTGGTGCATTAACCCACAGTGCCACACCAGGACTCCCATGTTGACATACATATACCAGGTCCTTAATAAAACTGTGTCAGCTTAGTGGTCAAATGAATTAAATGTGGTTTGGCTGGTGTACTCCTAAGTATCATCCTTTAAAACTCAAGTACTTTCTCCTCTGATTTTTTCTTCTACTTCTGTTCCTTGAACTTATTGCCATTGTTGTGTTGTTAGGTGCTGTCAAGTTGGTTCCAACTCATAGCGACCTCATGTACAACAGAATGGATATGGTTCTGTGCCATCCTCACAATTGTTAAGTTTGAGCGCAGTATTGCTGCCACTGTATCACACCATCTCACTGAGGGTCTTCCTCTTTTTCACTGACCCTCTTACTTTACCAAGCATTTGTTTCCATTGTTGTTGCTGTTAAGTGCCATTGAGTTAGTTCTAACTCATGGTGAACCTGCATAGAGTTTCAGAGAAGTTGATGGTGAGTTTGAGCCACCGACCTTACAGTTAGAGTCCAGTGCCACACAAGGACTCATGTGTTCCCATACTATGTTGTAATTATTTATTTGCTGGATGCTAATTCAATAACGTAGGAGCTCTGGTAGCTTAGTGGTTACGAATTGGGCTGTGAACCGCAAGGTCAGCAGTTCGAAACTACCAGCTGCTCCACGGGAGAAAGATGAGGCGTTCTGCTCCCATAAAGATTAACAGCCTCGGAAACCCTGTGCAGGGTCGCTATGAGTCGGAACCGACTCCATGGCACATAACAACAACAATTCAATAACGTAACTGGAGTTATGGCAAATTTATAACTGGAAAAATTGTGTGAGAAGATTCTCAGGACCTCTCATTAGAGGCATAAAATGCAAGATAAGTAATTTAGAGAGGCAAAGATGACTTGTTAAATAATACTGATTGAAGGCAATTGAATTTCTCTTATTTTCCTATACATATTCTTCACTTCATATAAACTGGACCAACATAACTTGAACTTCTTTGCACTATTCTTTTGCTCATACGTTCCACACATTGTAATGCTCTCCCCTCTGGTCTCTGTACATGCAAACTATACTGTCACTTCCAGAATTAGATAAAATTTCACCTCTTCAGAGAAGTGTCTCCTGACTTTAAGGATGGCTCTTTCTGAATTCTAGCTCATCTAACACATTGTTGTTAGGGATATTTTTGTAAGGGAATGCTTTGACTCTCCAAGTTTAAATGGTAAGTTCCTTAATGAATTCAACAGTCTCTCACAGTTTTTTTTCTTTAACATATCCAGAAAAAAAAAAAAAAAAAAGCTAGATTCTCAATTTGGTAACAAACTCATTCAAAGGAAAGGTAGAATGCACATGAAAAAGTACTTTTAGTCTCCCAAAGTTAGTTTTCACAAACACTGTCATATAAAGGCCAGTGAGAAGAAAAACTTAAAAGAAATAAAGTTTACATTAATGTAGCATTCAAGACAAATAATTTCTCTAAATCTTTCTAAAGGATTTGGCTTACGAGAGTTTCATGTAATATTTTACGTAGGGATCTGTCATGTTTATGACATTGGAAAAGTCTCAACAGCCACTTGAGAAGACTTAGAAACAAGTAGGTTTAAAATTTTATTTGGAAAACCTAAGATAGCTAGTTTTAAAAACATCACTACATAAAAGAAGATACAACAGCTAGATATTTACTCCCAAAGCCAGCTAATAGTTTTGTAAGTAGAAAAATAAGCATACTTTTTTATACCCTACTATTACCAAAAACAAAAAGTGGACAGGCTGGGCCAGCTGTGTAACAATAAATGCTTTTACAGTAATACATGTTGACAGCCAAATAAAAAAGAATGCATTACTGAGATATCATCAATTTTGTCCTGTCATTACATGGCAGTTCCATCTAGTCTAAGCTTGTCAAAAAGTGTTACTGTAATCCATGAAGAAGTCTCCACCTCAGGCAAAAGAGAGAAAAATGTGGCTCTGAACAGGTGTGTTGAATGCTATTGCTAATGTTGAGTCTCAAATCTCTTTACATTAGTTTCATTTATGACAAACTACTAAGTTCTACTCTGAGATGTCAGGCAT